ATCCCTTTCAGATGTATTATTTCTTATCTCAATAAACATACTTGAACTTGAGAAGTAGCTCGACCTTGAATGCCCGCTCAAGATTTTCCATTACAGGGGTTAGAGGAGGGACCAATGGAGGAGGAGCTGGACCGGACGGAGGTGTTTCCGGAAAAACCTACCCAGATCTACACTGCCCAACTTCTCTGTCCCAGAACAGGCTGGACCAGCATTTACAGGTGAGCCTGACCGGTCAGCTATACTCTAATCCTGGAGAACCGGATCTACCACCCTTAACAGGTGCATCAAACCGGCCGCCACCTACTTCCCCTCCTCTCACGCCAGAACCGGTCCAACCACCCTGACAGGTGAATAGCTGCGCCTACTTGTTGACTTTTCGTAAGGTTCTTTAAACTAGAAACAATGAAATCGTTCATAAATTACTGACAACCCATAGTTATAGATGGCGGCAATATTTCATTTTTGGTGATAACCATTTTACGACAAGGAGTCAAACTAGGCTCAGCACACAGTGACCTGCTGGGACTTCATACACTGTGCTTACGGCCGGCACGAGCGCCAAGTCTAACACGGTGCTAACAATAATATCTCCATAAGTCACAACTGTGCCCCCCTCCCTTCCTTCCTTCCCCCAGCACGACACGACGGAGGCAGGCACGAGGCGATCACTCGCCTTGACTGAGGGTAAATGAACATTTGGCGCTGTAATACGCAACACTCGACTCCATCAGGTTTAAGGCTAACTAATTATTTGCAGAGGGAGTGGGACGAGTTGCCTGGTGGAGGGTCTGGTGCCTGCACAGGCCAGGCAGGTCCGTGTCCGGCTCACTCAGGAGGACTACCATGGCCCATGGACCACCATCACCATCAGGACTAAGAGTGAGTCCACTCCAGCAACCCGTTCCTCCTCTTTAGATAGTACTTATAGTAACGATAACGACCATCGTACATATATTGCCGCAAAAGGCAATAAGAAATCAGTACTATTGAATCTGGACAACCCGAAAAAAGGTTTTATACTGATGTTGCAAAGAGAATTACCTTCCTAGGCCTAATACCACGCTATTTATGTAATGTGGTGCATAAATGTACTATACTAGAGCTAGGATTAAGTTTGTTTTTTAGCTTTAGTTTGTCAAACTCTTATAAAGTGAATAATACCAAATTCTACTATCTAATTGTCCATTACGCCTTTGAATATCCGATAGTCTACATAGTTACAAAAGTACAGTCTAAATAGGTGCATGGGTTGACGCCATCCATTATCATATCTTACCAATCTCCAGTAACTAAAACATACTTTGTACATTCGTTTGGTAAATAAAATTAAAAAAAATTGACATTCTGATTGGCTGCACATACAGAGTTAATAAACCTTGAGAAGAACATTATTAAAGAGCTTTTTCTGAATTTCTCGTTCTATAGAAATATTAGCAAATAATGTAATTCTTAGGAGTCCACACCCTGGTAGCCTACCGAGGGGTGGGGGAGCAACCTTGGTAGGCTACCGAGGGCGGGGAACAACCCTGGTAGGCTCCCGAGGGCGGGGAACAACCCTGGTAGCCTACCGAGGGGTGGGGGGAGCAACCCTGGTAGGCTACCGAGGGCGGGGAACAATCCTGGTAGGCTACCGAGGGCGGGGAACAACCCTGGTAGCCTACCGAGGGGTGGGGGAGCAACCCTGGTAGGCTACCGAGGGCGGGGAACAACCCTGGTAGGCTACCGAGGGCGGGGAACAACCCTGGTAGGCTACCGAGGGCGGGGAACAACCCTGGTAGGCTACCGAGGGCGGGGAACAACCCTGGTAGCCTACCGAGGGCGGGGGAGCAACTGTAGTAGGCTACCGAGGGCGGGAGAAGCCTTGATAGGCTTCTGAGGTCGGGGTGTAGTGGTGGTGGGCTCGTCAGCAGCACTGACTGTGTACTCCTGGGGCAGGTGTACCGAGCAGCGGGCAGGACCTGGTGGAGGCCGTGCAGGAGGACAATGCTACACTTGTCAGGGACGTCCTCACCGATCTTCTCAAGTTCTCTCAGTAAGTACCTTTGGGGGCGCTCAGCGGGCGTGACACGGGTCGCATGTAACCAATGTAGTGTAGGATGTTAAGGAACAATATGGTGCAGGATGTTAAGGATCAATATGGTGCAGGATGGAGCGTATAGACCACGTGGTGGAGACGGGTCACACGCCGCTGGTGGCCGCTGTGAAAGGCGGGTCACGGGACGCCCTGGCCGTACTGGTGGAGAGACGGGCCGCCGTGACGGTACCGACGGCCGGGCCGCACCTCGGCCCCCTCGCCCTGGCAGCCTGGCTGGGCCGCATCGACCTGGCTCGCAGGCTACGGGCCGCCGGAGCTGTCTGGAATCAGGCTGACAGGTGAGTGATCTCCCCCCTAGTAACTGAACTTCATCTATACGCAGCTTTCTCCGCTCCGTTACACCCTTCTCCCGTAGACATTACTGTTGTCTATCTAATTGAAAACTTCTCAATAGCTCGGTCGAGAGAGCTGTGGCCTCTCAGGGGAGTTTGGCAAGCTTCCTGTGTTCCTTTCGAAGCCACTAGAGTTAGTCTAATTTACTATGAACCCCATAACTATCCCATGAACAGAGTTCATAAGTTTACACACACACACACACACATACCATGGGTCACTAGAGATGGTAGCCCTCATGTAATTATAATTCAAACATCAATGATGGAATCAGTGTCTCCTGTGGATCCCATCTCATACTGGCCTCCGAATGCATAAGAGTTGACACTCGACCCACATATCTGATAATGAAGACATGTTCGTATGTCTTCTCCGAAACACTAATGCCAATTAACAATAGACCTGCTTACTCATTAGACTCATGGCCCAGATTTGTTATCCGCACCAAGTCGTTTTTCGTGCCAAGCTGGTGTACAGATATACTGGCTTAGTGTTGACCAAACCACACACTAGAAGTTGAAGGGACGACGACGTTTCGGTCCGTCCTGCACCATTCTCAAGTCGAACGATTGAATCACAATCGACTTGAGAATGGTCCAGGACGGACCGAAACGTCGTCGTCCCTTCAACTTCTAGTGTGTGGTCTGGTCAACATACTTCAGCCACGTTATTGTGACTCATCGCCTGCACTGGCTTAGTGCCTTTTCCTAACTACTTGTCTACTTGCCTTACCGTAGCTGCGAGTATACTGCAGAGAACAAGTTACAATAATGTGATTGGAAAATAACAAACCACGACGCACGAATGAAAATAGAAAATAGAAGTGCCATCGACAAAATTGACAGTAAAATTGACAACACTTTCCATTATCACACACCTTCCTTATCTAATCACCTGAGACTTGATAAGGTTCAAGACGGGCCGAAACGTCCTCGCTTTCTTTTTTGTACGTGTTGGTTATGGTGTTTAGCATCAATTCGAACTTTGGTTATATCTCTCAACCTTCAATCACCTGATATATAGGTTCCCAAACCTTTTGGGATCATTCTTTTCTACATTTATTTACAATTCTGACACCTTCAAAATTCTTCCTAATATCCCTGTGTGTATATAATACTAAGTTTATACCTGTCATTTTGTTTGTGGTCCACCCATGTCATATCATTGTTTAGTCTGTTAATTCTCTCCTTTCCCCCTCCAAGTATTGTGGTTAATAATGTCTCTAATTTATTCTCTGCTAGTGGCAAGATATTTAGTTTTTTAAAACCTTCACTCTAAATTATATCCCCTCGGGTTTGGATCTAGCATAGCGAGAGGAGGGGAAAATTCCACCTTTATTTTGGACTCGCAATCACCTTTATAGATTGACGGTGTGTCTGCTATGAAATATACTAACCAGTAACACTTTGTCAGCTTGGCACCGTCCCTCCAGTTGTGTCCAGCCCTTAAGACCGCATCTGTGTCCCCCAGGGCATGGGTCTTCTCGACACCGTTCATTCCAAAAGCTCGTCTCGAATTATTTTTTTTAGAAACAGATGCAGCCTGGTTCTCTTGACATGTCCTGGTTGCATGAGGCACTCAGCTGGTAAGCCATGATTAACCAAGCTTCACATGGCACCGATTCGTTAGGCTTTTTAAACTCATGAATATTATAAACAAATAAAATCTGCCCCATATCGACAAAAGGTTAGTTTCGTCCATCATTAACACTGGTCCTAAACCCCGCTGCACTGAACAACTCAAATGTATACTAACACCTGTAAATGAAAAAGACAGGTGTTGAGCAATCTATATGAAAATGTGTAGCTTCAACATTGCCGGCCAAAAAGGTTCCATAATAATATGCTCTGCTCACCTCTTCATAATTTTTGTTGACTGATTTATCCATTAAAACAAGAAATGTGTTCAACTGTTCAACCTAGCTGCTGCATTTCACATTTTTGTTTATAAATGTGGTGGCGATCAAGATTTTTGTTTCCCATTTCCGTTTAACTTGAGCATGTGAGCCTAGGCTTGAAAAGCAGCCACCGACCTCTGCTAGCCAAGACCAAAATTAGGATGTTCTCGTGGTTCACCTTTACTGGTTTGACTCTGATATTTACTATTAACAGTTACCCGTCAATTGTTGCTTTTATTGCTAATTGTTATCGTGTTAGTATTTACTTTTCTTTAATATTAATATTGACTTATTTATTATTATGGTCTCGGGTTCGATTCCCTTACAGCACGCAGTTTGGGTTCACTTCACACATTATACTTTTATTATTTTCTCTACTTAAACAAATCGCTACATTTACAAATATAACAAAATTACCGGAACAACGTTATCAAGCAACGTAAAGCAATACAGTCGTAAAAATATCACTAACAGCCGAGTGAACAACACACAAATGAAAAGACGCACAGTATTTGATACCTGTATTTACCCAGCATTGGCCGTTGTCGCCAGCGGCGGCTAGTTTATTGTGCACCCTATACTTACCCTGTGAGCCGTAGCGCAAAAAAAGATTACAGAAGGCACAAAATGTCTTCACCACACCCCTAGTTGTTTCACACAATATTTTGTTCTTACCTTACCACCGGCGCTCTTCCCATTATGGCCGACATATGTAGTAGGGTACAATGCATTTTCACGTATATTATGCCACAGGATTCTAGTGAAGTTTTCATTGCATTTTGTAACTGTTGCTGTAGCTAGCACCAGGGAGCAGCCGAGCCGTCACCCGCGGACACCCACCGAACACACTAAACAAGCTCCACTATGCCTGGCCGACACTGTAGCATAATACTAATTTTCGGCAACTTCCGTCATTCCTGAGGCCATCTGTTGAGCAAATTTAACAAAAAAATGGATGCGGTTAGCTGACACTACTAAATAGGTTAATAATATTACCAGTCGATGGGCCGACCATCGTAATATTACTGATGGTAATGTTACCATCAGTAATTGAACTTGTACATAATCTTGTACATAATCTTTGATGAACTTGTACATAATCTTTGATGCTCATAATGTACTTAAAATAAGACATATAACATGGATATTTTCATAATGTGCTGATTTACTAGTTAGCGGTAAAATTAGATCAGTCTACCTCGTCGCATATGGGCATATAAAAAATGGGGAAGGATATCTAGAACAAATTGGTATTGTCAAGAACGGTTAAAAAAGTAGAACAAAAGATATTATGACCTGCGAATAGAAGGGCAGGCAAATAAACCAAAGGGTTTTCAGATGTACAAAACAAAGGCTAGAAAGAGAAGACTGGTCCCTTGAAAAATGCCTTAGGGCTTGTAAGTGATATTGCCCAAGAAATGGGAAACATTCTAAATAAATACTTTGTTTCTGTATTCACTCGACATTTTACCTACGGAACAAATCTTTGTAGATAGTTAAGAAAACGTTGAATTGTTTGTTATTAAACAAATTGTAGTGTAGTGTGTTAAACAACTTGTAAACATTATTGAAGTTATTAAACAGACACAAAAATTCAGTCTCAACAAATCCACATGCGGGCCGGCGCGCAGGACCAGACGAAGTCTTTTGGGTCCTGTAGTAAGGTCCGTGGGTAAGGGTAAGACCTTGGGTAAGAAAGAGCTTCATGAACCCTTGACTTTTATATTTGATAAATAATTTCAGTTCAGCAGAATCGTGGAGAGTAGCAAATGTGCCAATCTTTAAATTGCATTAATCAGTAATTGCAAAACGCATTAATTGCATTAATTAAACATTAAAAATTGCATTAAAAATTTAATTTAATTTAACATTTAACATTTAATTGCATTAAAAACATTAAATTGCATTAAACGCATTAATTGCATTAATCAGTAATGCAAAATTGCATTAATCAGTAATTGCAAAACTAATTGTCTACATTTAAAAAAAAAACACATAAGGGATTCACACGAGCATCTATTAACTAATTATCTTATCATTCTGTTGACCAGACCACACACTAGAAGGTGAAGGGACGACGACGTTTCGGTCCGTCTTGGACCATTCTCAAGTCGATTGAGAATGGTCCAGGACGGACCGAACTACTAAAGATCCCTTTATCATTCTATTGTGGAAAAATTGCATTAATCAGTAATTGCAAAACGAATTGTCTACATTTAAAAAAAAAAACACATAAGGGATTCACACGAGCATCCTTTTACAAAGTGCCGTTCTTGTTTGACAAGTTTTCTCTTATTCTTTACTATAGATCCCTTTATTGTTACGTTCCTAATCACATTAGATGTATTATTGTTACCGCTTCTAATTATAAATCCCAGTTTCCAACTTACTTTATTCTGTAAATTTAAACATATTTTTGGGGCTTAAAATCCCTAATATCTACCTGATTTTTCTCTTTGGGATTTGTTAATTTTAAAATTGTGTTAGGCACAACATTTAACAGCATTTGTCAATCGCTTGTTCAGTTTAAAAGCCTATATAATTAACTTTGAAACGATTTTGAGTATTTTGAATTTATTTCCCTAAAAATCATATACTTTTAAATAGTGCTATATAATAACTTTAATTAAAATTTATCTAACCAAGCTAAAAGATCCGAAGGGGAGGGAACTATCAGGGGGAAAGCGCCAAGCCATTACGACTATATAGCACTGGGAAGGGGGATCAGGATAAGGATTTGGGATGGGACGGGGAAGGCAGTAACGGTGCCCAACCACTTGGACGGTCGGGGATTGAACGCTGACCTGTATGAAGCGAGACCGTACAGCCCAAGTGGTTGGGCTAAGGGAAACTGATCACCATTTTTGCTTCAGAAATGGATTAACTGCGCTGCACTACGGCGTGGCCGGCCACCAGGTAGAGGTGGTGAAGGCAGCGTTGCTGGATGGTGCGGATGCAACCCTGCCGGCCGCCGGCTACTCTGTCCTCAGCCTCGCCATCACCACTGCACACAGGCGCCTTGCCTCCGCCAGGTGAGGCGCCCTCTTGTAGCTGGCAGTCCTTCTCGCGGTTCACAAACATCATTATGTCAAATTTTAGGACAAGTAAATTATTAAAGACTAAACCACACACCAGAAAATGAGGAAACGACGACGTTTCGGCCCGTCCTGAACCATTATCAAATCGATTGTGACAAGTCGATTGTGATTGTGACAGTGTCACAATCGACTTGATATTGGTCCAGGATGGACCGAAACGTCGTCGTCTCTTCATTTTCTGGTGTGTGGTTTAGTATTTAATAATTTACTTGTCCTCCAATTTTTTTACCATTTCAAACCCCTATTTATATCGACTTGAAGTGATAGTGAGTCTTCTTCCGTGTTTATTTCCCTGCCTATTTGTGTATCATCGGCAAATTTGCATATGTTGCTACTCAAACCTGAATTTAAATAATTTATATATATTATAAACAGCAGAGGTCCCATGACAGAGCCCTGAGGCACTCCACTTACAACATTTTCCCACTCTGACTTAACCCCATTTATACTAACTCTCTGTTTCCTTTGGTATAGACATACCCTAGTCCAGCTTAATATAGCACCCCCAATACCATGAGCCTCTATCTTTTTAATCAGTCTTTCATGTGGCACTGTATCAAAAGCTTTGCTAAAGTCAAGGTACACAACATCACAATCCTTACCAATGTCAACTGCCTCAACTATGCTGGAATAAAAAGATAGCAAATTTGTTAAACATGAACGGCCATTTATAAAACCATGTTGCGAATCATTTATTAATTTATGTTTTTCAAGATGAAGACGAATTGTAGTTGCAATTATCGATTCAAATAACTTTCCCACAATAGACGTTAGGTTAATTGGCCAATAGTTTGACGCAAGTGATCTATCTCCTTACTTAAAAATTGGTACCACATTAGCAACCTTCCACGACCCTGGCACTCTGCCTGATTCTATTGATTTATTAAATATGGTAGACAGTGGCTCGCAAAGCTCCTCTTTGCATTCTTTAAGCACCCTGGCAAACACTTCATCTGGCTCTGAGGATTTGTTGGAGATACTTTAATTTGACTAAATTGTTTAGGAGATATTCAGTCTCTCATGCTCTTAATTTGTATATATATTTTTTATTAAATTAAAGTTTAAATTCTTATCTCTTGTTGGGTGACATTTGTGCTGTTTATATACAGTTCTGGATCTCGGAGCACAGTAATTCTCGGGCAGGACAGAAACTGTTGGGCAAGTTTCCTTTCATCTGGTGCATATGTTCACATAGCATTCAATAGGGAGTGAGGCAACTGTTGTACTCACCTATCCCAACAGAAGCCAGACTATCCCAACAGAAGCCAGACTACCCCAACAGAAGCCAGACTACCCCAACAGAAGCCAGACTACCCCAACAGAAGCCAGACTACCCCAACAGAAGCCAGACTACCCCAACAGAACCCAGACTACCCCAACAGAACCCAGACTACCCCAGCAGAAGCCAGACTACCCCAACAGAAGCCAGACTACCCCAACAGAAGCCAGACTACCCCAACAGAAGCCAGACTACCCCAACAGAAGCCAAACTACCCCAACAGAAGCCAGACTACCCCAACAGACGCCAGACTACCCCAACAGAACCCAGACTACCCCAGCAGAAGCCAGACTACCCCAACAGAAGTCAGACTACCCGGCTACCAACGAGACTACCCCCAAGCAGACAACTAGGCGAGGGCGCCGCCGCCTCACAAAGGTCAGTGGCGGGTGACACAAGAATGCGAGGGAAGGGCTGGCAACAAGAGGCACTCTCCCTCATCAATTATGAGATAGTCTGGGTCAGGCGCACGGCGCCCCGTCACTTGTCTCTCCCTCTCTCTCTCTGTCTCTCTGTCTCTCTGTCTCTCTGTCTCTCTGTCTCTCTGTCTCTCTCTCTCTCTCTCTCTCTCTCTCTCTCTCTCTCTCTCTCTCTCTCTCTCTCTCTCTCTCTCATACTCATCCTCCTGTGGTGTTTTCTGTTCATACTAATGCCCATTATGATGTTAAATTTTCCCCGTGATATTAACTCTTCCTGTGATGTTAACTGCTATTTTGATGTTAACTTTTCCTATGATGTTAACCGTTCATATGATGCTAACTTTTTATGACATTAAATGTTCCTATGATGATCATTATGATGTTAATTATTCACACGATACTGTTGCTATATGAGGTTCTTTGGTCCACCGCGGCCTGTCCCACCTGGTCACTCTTCCCCAGGTGGAGCCGGGAGGAGGTGGAGCTGGAGGCAACGACCATGGTGGAGGTGCTGGTGGAGGGTGGAGCCGAAGTGAACCAACGGGGTGCTGGAGGGAACACTGCACTCCATGTGGCCCTCACCCTGGGTCTCCCCCACCTGGTAAGCCCTCACCCTGGGCCTCCCCCACCTGGTAAGCCCTCACCCTGGGCCTCCCCCACCTGGTAAGCCCTCCCCAGGGTTCTCCCCCACCTGGTAAGCTCCCCCCAGGGTTCTCCCCCACCTGCAATCGACTTGAGAATGTTCCAGGACGGACCGAAACGTCGTCGTCCCTTTACCTTCAAGTGTGTGGTCTGGTCAACATGTCCTTATCCATCTGTAGATGAGTATATAGACTGTGTCTCATGGTTCACCGCGCGTAACAACACCAGGGGGCAGATTCACGAAGCAGTTACGCAAGCACTTACGAACCTGTGCATCTTTTCACAATCTTTAGCGGCTTTGTATACCATAAATAAACAGTTAATGAGCTCCGAAGCACCAGGAGGCTGTTTATAACAATAACAACAGTTGATTGGGAAGTGTTCAAGCTTGCAAAC